ACCTGATCTCATTTATCAATATCTTGCTTGCATTTGGGGGCCCAAACACTTGTCTAAAACATAATAAAACAAGAGAGGACCATAAACATGAAGTTTCTCCTCTTCAGTAGCATTAGGAATCCTGGTTTATCTGAAGACTATCACTGAAGCACAGAACTAATGATTTAATACTCGGTTTTGTTACTCCTAAGGAATCTTCTTGCAAGAATTAAAATTCAGACACACAATGAGAACACAAGGTATCTGCACTGGGTTGGATCAAGCATCCATCCACCCTGCCAAAAGATGATGTGTTGTTAAAGCTGTAAGAGCATAATTGAGAATATTTCCTACCTAGTTTAAACATTTTCAGTTCAAGTCAGTGACAGGTGAAATTGTTCATATGTTATCAGCCTTAAGGTAAGGACCAAGACCTTTTACCCATAGCATAAATCAGGTGTCTCAGTTTGAAAGTGATAACACTGACTTGTGATTCTGTGACAGCTTTAGGACAAAAGATGTTACTATGTGTTCAAAGCATGATGAGTAGGCCACATTAATATTTATATAAGAGAAGTCACAGCATTTCCTCTTACCTGGGTATCATATTCCTCAGTTTTCTTTTCAGAGTCATTGTATGTACCAAACTGCAAAATATATAAAATACGTAATTAAGTCAGAATTGTGGTAAAAAGTATTTTGACCAAAATGGTAACTTTAGCATCATACTATGGTCCAAGAGGCCACCTTATTCCAAACAAATTATCACCTCAAAAATAACACATTTTCTACTGACACAAAAGTTTGTAGCATCTACCGCACCACTGCCTAAATGGAGATTTAAACTGTTTAAACCACTATGAGACATACAGCTTAAAACAGTTCAAACTTCTTATATCCTTCTGTATAAGACAGTCACTACAAATTGTGTGAGCAGCCTACTAAATATAGGCTAGCTACAGTGTATATGTTTTCCTTCTATTTTATGTTGAACATCCAGGAGTCTTCTGCTTTGAAAAGTGCTGTTGAGACAGCAGAGTTCACCCAATGAGAGCCAAGTCAAACGACGAGGAGTTTGGCAGCTAGAGGAAGCAATTACTAGTAATCATAACCATTTAATGCACAAATAGGTCAACTGTGTTCTGTTTCTCTAAAGAGAATTGCTAATAGTTTTCTCAAGAAAAGCCAGTGAAGACAAAGGTTATTTAAGAAATCTTTTCATCAGAATTCAACACATTCCAACAGTACTTTTTGAAGAGAAGATGAATATTCAGCAAGTGACAACTTGTCAAATACGACAGCTTTGAAAACACTGTATTCTAAAAGAAAAATACCTGATTTTTTTTCCCTGTCAATCTCTTTATGGGTTGCTTGCTTTTACTATGCAGAGTTTTTTAAATGTTAGCATAAGGTAGACTGAAATAGACTGAAATAATAATGTTCTTAAACCTAAATAAACAATTCAACCAACTATGCTCTTGCAGGTTTAACAAAAACCAAGAACACCCTTCCCCACACACACCCCTACTAACAACCAATCAGAAAAAAAAAAAAACAAAAAAACAAACAAAAAACACACACACATACACACAACACAAACAGCAAACAACCAACTCCCCCCCCTCCAAAAAAAACTAACAAACAAACTTCAGCTGTAGCAGGGGAGAAACTTTGAAAAGAGCAAAGGATTGCAAAATTGTGATTGTTGCAAAGTTGTGATTGTTTAAAAATATTTCCTTGAATACTGCCAAGGGAGCAAACAGAGCTATTAGCCTCTTAAGAGGCAGACTTCGAGCAGCAAAAAATGCCAGAATTTCTTGTTATGTAAACACTGGGGATTACACAACGGTGTTTCTCATATCAAAAAAAAAAAAAAAAGTTTGGATATAGACACTCTTTGTATAAAAGTGCTTTTCCAACACAGCAGCAGGAACTTAAGTCCACCCATTAAGATTCAAGAGGACTGAGAATTTTGAATTTTTCAACATAATACATACAAATTAAACCTTCCACACAAATTAAATAAATTCATAATTTTGAAACTACTTATCTAAGCTTTTGTATTAACTCACTGAGAAAGAAAAGCTGTGCATGCAAGGCTTTTACAGTTTTTTATCTTCCCTTTAGTGAAAATCAAGTTGCACAGTAATCTGAAGGGAGACAACAAGTTCAACAGCTTTAATGATAAAGGGCTGATGCTTACTGTACCTGAATTTTGGGTCTTATGCCTTGCCACTTGATCGTCATTTTCAAAGCTTTCTTCACTTTCCAGAGCTGTGGTTAACAAAACAAGTTGTACACATACAAAATTATCTGAAGGAATTTCCACAAGATTCAGATAATCAGGTCATACATATAAAACCAGTAATTGCCTGACCACAGCAGCCTGCCCTGCATATACACGACTACAAATGGAAAGCCGTGGCACCGGACAGGCCCATCACTGACAGTCTGCTTCATTAAGTCCCTGTTTTTGATGATATACCCAAAGTGAAATAAGTTAAGTCTTTGCAGGCTATCTGTATTTCAGAGCTAGTGTGGAAGTCAGTGGCTCTCCACACTAATGCACTTCAGCTTAAATGTCCTCCAGTAACCATGTGCCAAGCAAGTTTTTTCCATGCCTTCAAGGAGTAGCTGGGTCTCTAAGACCAAGGTGTCTCTGAACTCTGAGCACTGACATCCTTACATGGTCACTACCTTTCAGTAGCAGACTACAGGAATTAAGGCAAAGTCAGGGAATCCACGGGATGGCAAGGCTGTTCCAGTCTGGCCCTAATGCAATCAAAAGTCCAGCTTATGCAAAAGTTTATTCAAGTATGGATCCCACTGTACAGATTTTACAAGTAAAAAAATACAGTAGCTCAGCAGGACTATATTCTGTGAAACTTTTGGTGGGCAAGGTTGGTTTTTGACTTAAAATTTTTGTTTGAATTTGCTTGAACAACAACACCAATATTCTTTTCCTATCCATCATATCTTCCAAACGAAACAGAACAAACAGGTAAATGCAATCCTGTACTGTCAGCTTTGACAGAGGAGAGAACGCTGCTTATTACAGAAGCAATGTCATGGTTACTAACTGTGTAAGAAACACATGTTAAGGGTAAGTTGTGAATAAGTACTCCTGAGCAGCCCAATTTCCTTTGAGATGCACAATTCATATGTTTATTCCCACTTTAGATAAGCATCTTACCATCACCTGAGACCAGACATATTTTACTTCAGCAACCCTTCTACTACAACTTCAGCTACAGATTTTCCCTCTACGTAAATTCTGCATAATGCACCCATGTAATCCTTTAAATTTAGTTTCCCCAGCTTGCAATCCAAAAGCAACATATTAGAAAGGCATACGAGAAACATGACTGGAGGCAAATAGTCATAAAGACTACAGATCTCCAAGAGCTCTGATATTCTCTTGCCGATTGCTCTTTGGGCAGCATCAGCAAGAATCCCTGACAGGTACAAGGTCTTTGGAGACCTTCAACAAATGAGATCTGGATTTGCCTGTTCTTACAAAATGGTTACCAATAAATCCATCTTCTTTATAAACCAGGAATGCAAAGTCTTAAGGTTTCAACTGAATTTAAGTCTTGAAATGTAGCTAATCCTGTCTTTCACCCCACTATAACCAAAACTGTCATTTATCTTGACAATACACAGTTTAAAATCATTTAGCCCTTTTAGATTTCTGAAATTTTTAGATTCAAAAAAAATGTTTTTGATTCTTAAAATCCAAATAAGCTAAAATCAAATCAATTTAGCAATATCAGCAGCATACTTATAGCATGTTACCATATTTGCATACATAGTTTTCCCTGAAACCTTGTTGAAATTTGAGAGCTAAAGAAATTTTGAAATACAAGATTAAATTTAATGTTTGGAAGACAAAACCACTAGTAAGTACAGTACAAAAAACACAGAGATATGCCATATTTTTAAAATTTATAGTGCTATCCCAATTACTAAATAATTATTTTTGTAATCAAGGAACTGGCACTATTTGGGATATTGCTATCTGTAGCTTTCACTAGAGCCTAAATATGCACTAAACTGAATTTTTAAGGCTCACACTTGCATTCAGCAACTTAATCTCTACTTTCAAAGAGCGTCCAATTAAAAGAGCGTGTTCTGAACTATTTTGTCCTTACAGAGATCATCTGCAACTGCATGAGATGCACAGTCGAAAATCCCACAAAGTCCTGAACTTAGTTTTAAATACTGAAACATAACATCTGTAACACTTGCTACTCAGAGAACTCTTCCCAGCAGTCTCAAGGCTTCTGAGCAGCTTCTGCAAACCACTGACTGGACATGGTCTGCTGAAACCACCAACAGGCTCTTCCTTTTCTGCCTTTGCCAAGGCCTCAGTTATGGCCCGGCAAAAAACTGCAGCACAGAGGTGTCTTTCTGCCTGCTCTTTGACAAGTGTTCCCGTGAAGGCTCCCCGACCTGGTCAGTCAGACTTAGGCACATGAGTGATGCTCTGTGCTTGGTGCCACAATAACAGCTGGCCCATCCCAAGAAAAGCTCATACTTCCAATTTATTTCTTGTCTAATAAAGAGATACTATCTCCTCTACCAGAGGGCCAGTTAAAGCCATTTAAAGACAGCAGACTCCAACAATAATTTTCCAGCAACTAGTTTAGCATTCTTTTTGCACAGTAAATTATAAAATGATCTTTTATAAAAATATTTGAAGACTCTGTATGCAACTAATAGCTGTTCCTGAGAATACTGAGAATTAGTTCTAAAGCTTTAACAACTTACCTCAATCACTGCACCAATGCCTGCTGGAATCAGGACCAATAGACTTGTTTGTTCATCCAAAAGGAAAAGAAATATTACAACAGTACTAAAGCACCGCCAGAGAACTAGACAGAAAAAAATAATATTAATATTTATATGAATACTTGAGACGACAGCAAACTTGGTCTATTTTCTACAATTCTATCTTACTTAAGCAGTTTAAGCATGAACTTCTCCACACATCTTTCTTTGTTAAGCAGTCCCAGAAAGTAGCCCAATTACCTATATACCTCCAAGCAGGCTGAAAAAAAGACACCTAGCAAGTCACAAGACCTTTTTATAAAGTCCTTATCACAAGAGTAAGGAAACCAGAATATTTAAGGAAGATTTCTGCACTACAACAATTCAACAATATATCAGTACTGTGATGAACTACACATTCACGACTCTTGTCTCAGGAAGCTGTAAGATATCCAAGTAATGTCAATCTTGGAAAATCATGCAACTAATTTAATGCTTGTAAACTGCTAGGAGAAGTAAATCCACTTTATTCAATTGCTTTGAAAATGCAAATATTTTGTACTTGGGTTATTTTCCAGGTTCTGCAAAACTCTGTACAAGCTTCTCCTAAACAATTCATAGATTAAAGCAGGCAAGGACAGGACTAGGTTAGAGCTACAAGATGCTGGGACAGCAAGAATTACATTGCACCATTTCATGGCAATTTCTTGTCCCACACTTTCTACAGGGGAATAAGGAGGAAGATGCAGAGAGGAAGCAGACTGAAGTATGATTCCACTGTCTCTTTAGCAAAAAGCCAATTACTGGAGACTGAGCACTGTCTTTGACAGTACGGTTAAGAAAACCTATACCTCTTCGATTTTCCAGTTTGACTTTTCTCACTTAGCTAATTGGCAATTAGCAATTCCAAGTCTGAAATTCTCGGATTGTTTCGGATTCTCACTGACCTTTTTGTGCACATATACGAGGTGCAATATAAATGCTTTATATAAATATAAATGCCCTTTGACACAAAGAAAAATCCCCCCTTGAGGAAACTGTGTTGCTGTTTATCCTGTCACAATGTCTTTTTTTTTTCCTATCTATATTTCTTCCATATTTTAATCAATCTGTACATATTGTAGAATAAAGAGATACAGCTCTAGAGGGTAAACAACCACAGATCTTTCATTTTGGCTTATAAAGATGATGGAAAACCTATTTGAAAAATAGGCAGTGAGTATTAACAGATTAAATAAAGCTCAGTAGTTGTATGTTTAATCTCAAGTGCCCATGTCTGGCTGCTAACCTCTAATCTGTCTCTAAAACTGAGAGACTGACAGATGTCAAACCACTATGCTTCAGTCTCTTTCATATCCAATAATGAAACTACAGCTTTATAATACTGTATTTGTTTTAAATAGTTTGTAGCTTGTTGCTATATAAACGGGATATTTGGAATTTGCAGGATAACATTACATATGATAGCACCTTTTCTTCAGTCAAAACATTGTTCATGACCTCTTTCTTTTCTCTGTATTTTTGTGTCACTTCACTGATCGAAATTTTAAACTCATAGAAAGAAAACATCTAATTTTACCACCTTGGATAAATCTACATTTCAGCTTACAGCAAGAATAAGCACAGTGTATGGCACACATACATGTAACACTTTGAATTATAAGCCATACCTGCTTTTGTAGACATCCCAATCATGTTCCTCTTTTTCTTCCAGAAACTGATGTCATTTTTGAATGCAAGGAAATCAAAAAGGAGCTGCAAATAGCAAGAAACATGCAGAATTGACTGAAACCTGCCCAAACAACATGCACTACCAGCTGAACTACTGAAAATTATTTATGATGGAATTGCAAGTTAAGAGTTATAAAACTAGAATCGAAATTACACACCATAAATACAAGCTAAAAAGAATGTGTTTTAGAAGGCTGTGATAAAGGATGAAGAACTAAGGTCCTTGAGAAGTTGCTCAGCTCATGGACAGATCACACTAAATTAGATTAGTGATTTGTGTTGGATTGATAGTATTATTCATTTTAGGTTTAGATAGTACAAAGGAAAAAAAAGTCCTTCAGGATGGCAAGTCAGGTTTTATCTTGATTTCAGCAGTGTGAAGCTTGCCTAAACTTCAGGGACTTAAATTTGCTTCAAACTCTTTTTTTCCCCCCTTCCAAAAGTCTCTTTCAGCATTCAATATATGAAAAAGCACAGATGATTCTGAAAATCCTGGGTCAAGAAATCTTAATGAAAAAATATATTTTTTAATTTGGGAAAATTATATAAAAAGAACAGATATTTAAAGAGCTCTTCTCAGTCTACTGACACACAACTTTCTAAACAAAATGGAAGAAAATAAGTTACTATTACTGGGAAACATAAAGGACTTTTACCACCAAATTGATAACATATACTCTAACCATAAAAAAGCATCATGTTCTGGAATAATTAAGAGCTTGCAGAGCACATGGGAGCTGCACTGATCATAACTGTAGATAACAAAAGTGTTCAATGTAGAATGATAAAAATCTGAAAAAAGTGTTCACTAAAAGATTCACATTTAAACTAAGATAAACACAAAGCTCCCAGAGGTGGATGACACTGCAATAACATGTCTATAGCAGCAAACTCTACACATACAAGCTGACAAATTTTTAATGTAAATCTGGAGCTGATCTGAATTCCTACAAGGTTTGAAGTCAGAGACTAGGAGAACTATTACTGGTGCCACAGCTATCCCCCTGCAATGGTACACTTTGGGACAACGCAGCTTAGCACAACATTTCAAAGTGCTAGCAGGCATCTAACGCTGGGGGTTCGGGTTGCACTCCAGATGAACAAAGGATCATGAAATTAAGTGGTTTATATTTCAGCCAAGAGTTAATTTATAGCTAATGGGCTCAGATATCTATCTTCAAAATCTTTATATTAACTGTGCATTGGAAATGCAGCCGACTTGTACAAGAGAGCACTTGTATTGCTCTAAGGAAATTCCTATTTCCAAGAACGGTTCCCAATAAATGAAGGGGTTGAAGTGCAACAATTTTTATGTCAGCTAAATTCTTAAAAAGAATTTTTCACTACTTACATGGAATGCTGCTACGAAGAATGTCAGAGCCAGAAAATACAGATTAGTATCCACAAAAATTCCTTTTACTTCATCTGCATCCTTTTCTGAAAACCCTAAGAGAACAAAAAACAAGTAATTGCATTAGATGCTGTTATACAAGATTCTAATATGAAAGTTTTTTTTTTTTTTTTTTTAACCTGGATGTATTTTGGTAAGCAATCATAAATCCAAATCAAGGCAAAATGCAATTCTAGGTACATTCTGATTAATGATTTGCCTAGCTTTAAACAAAATGTATCAGCCAGAAGAAGCCTTATGTGCATTTAATATCTTGTTCAGCCTAGGTTGTAACTACACAACAGATACACAAATGACAAGCACAATAAAGTCATTCTGGCCCGGGAGAAGAAGATTATTCAACTTGCCCTCTGAACTTTCACATGAAAGTAAGCCTCACAGCAAAAACTGAAAAATGAAAACACGTGTGCACTACAGAGGACAAGAGGTCAGTGAGAAAATGAACCACGCGTGCAACAGTACGGCTCCTGAGAGCGGATCCACTTCAAGCCTTTCTACAGTCCTTGTAAGAGAGTCCTGTAGAACTAGCTCGGAAGCTCCTGCTTGATAAACTGAAAAACAGCAAAGCATCTTCTGGAGTTCACAGTCTAATCAGTGAATGCGTAATTCTCACCTCTCATCAAATCTGCTGAAGGAGGAAGGATGTTACCTTGTATAAAAAGGTAGCTTTTAAGAAAGGGGTAGTCAGAAGGCTATAGTCGAAAGCTTTGCTGTGCCTGGCTGTACTTTACCCTAGCTATATGGCTACATTCCCAGTGACCACTACTTCATAAATTTATCTTCTCAGCATCTCCTGCATTCTTCAAAGCTTATACAAAACTTATTCAGCTATCTTTGCTCCATGGAGGATAGAGGGAAGCCATGGGAAAAATATTATCTTCCACTTTGGCTTCTTGTGCTTTCACAATAGTATTCTCTTGAGAAAATTGAAAATTAATAAATGATTAAATCAACTATTCTTGTTTCCTATCACATTTCAATATTTTATTTGAATCTTTACATAATTAAAGCAGCTTACAACAAACATTTTCAGAGTATTATCAGAAAACAGAAAGCAGCACATATCTATAAATAGCTATAAAGTTAAGAGGATTTTAGGATCTTTGCCTTACATTATTCAAAATTAAAAAAACATACCAAATTGTTGGAGGGAGTACACAGCATCCTGCATGTGGATCCAAAATCGGAGTTTTCCAAGAGATATTTTATCATACGACACTGTAAGAGGTAGCTCTGTGGTTGAACGATTTATAACCTGTATTTCAAAGAGAAATAGTTTCCTTTTTAATAGCAAAAGTAAATTCAGCAGTTATTGCAGTTATTTCTATTCATTTTCTTTTTGAAAGTAGAAGAAACTAATTATATCACATACCACAGAAATATAACCAAGAAATGTTAAATTGGCAGTTTGCTTTTTCAGGTTTCTATTGCAAACTCGCTGTTGGTATAGAAGAGAAAAATCTATAAATGAAGCAGGGAGAAAAGCTGGAGAAACTAGAACAGTGCCAGGAATCTTTGAACTGTCTGACAAAAAAAAGGGAAAAAAGGGAGCAGAACTGAAAATAAAGAAAGCTAGTAAGATTTCACTGCTCTTTACCAAAAAACACATACACATCTTCCAGGCTTCTCTCTTTAAAAGGATACCTATAATCCCTTCATTCTCTTTGCAACTCAGTCAATAACTCAATCTAAAAAGATAACATCAACATTTCTGGGAAAGGACAGAAAAAAAGTTTTATCTGTGCTGAACAGGCAGAAAATAAAAAGTCAGCAAAAACATAGTGGACTAACACACAGTCACTGCACTCTATTCAGACAAAACAGATTAGTAAATCAGAGGTAGCATAGAAAGAAAAACAGCTTGTAATATAAGACAAATTATTGGACAAACGAAAGCAAATAAACATATAAAAGTCAGAAGAACTCTTTCCTAATGGACCATTACTGTGCACAAGTGCTGCTGTGCAGCCTAGCTGAACATGATTGCTAAGCCTTGAAAACTAGGAAATTCTCAAACCTCTGCAATACAGCCTGTGCACAATTGTAGTAAGGCCTCCAAATGGCACTCTAAGACTACAAAACAGTGTGTGAAGAGAGCAATGTAGTACTACAGAATTAATTTTAACATGTTCTCAAACCAGAACCCTGTGCCCTCTCCTCCCATAAAGGGCAAGAAGATTCTACAACAGGAAGAACAGGAAGAACCACTATGCAAGACACCTCAGTACTTACCCTAGAAGACCTACATGAGGGTTAAAGTAGTCATCAGTTCAAAATCTACCACAGCACAGAAAATAATTCTCCAACTACATGGTTTCAGGTCAAACATATCAAGCAGATAGCACCTGTACTCCTATTTACAGTTAAACATTGACCTTGCTGTTCACAAGCTGCACTACCTTAGTCTTTCTTGTGTTTCACTCATCGTATACGTACCACCAGACCACTCTTACTGCAGGACTTGTCAGCAGTTTGGCAAATCATTATTGAGAAGTTACATAAACCAGAGCTGAAGGAGTGCTAGTTTTAGTAGTCTTTGTAGCACTTGTTTTCAAAAATCTTTAACCACTTTAAGGCAGAATTACAATAGCAGCAATTGCAATGTGTGTGACAGCAGTGGGAATATCATTAACAAGATGAGAACACTGAAATTATAAACAGGGGACATGACGACCAGTTAGAAGCTATTGTGCGGCATGAACGCACCGAGCTTAATAATGAGCTGTGGTAAGAAACTCAAAAGAAAAGACAATGAGTGCAGGACATCAGAAAGGAAACAGCTAAAGAAACATTGGACAAAACTACCTGCTCCTAACACCTAGGAGTTTGTAACTGAAATGCTCAGGAGGTTGTTTTGTCAACTAGAAATTTATAAATAAAAAAGAGCAAGCTCCTTAAAAAGATTCTCCCCAGCAATCAGCAACAAAAATCTTTGTCTATCCTGAAGTTTATGAATTGGAAAGGTCTTGGGGAAATTCAGACAAACCCAGACATATTCATTTATTAGACTGTGACATTCATCAAGGCTTTTGTTCTCAGTCATGTTTTGGTTAGCAATTACCATTAACTGCAGAGCTCAACTAAGAGCTGCATAAGGTGCCTGTGCTTTAGATGCAAGGGACTTCCATGAGAAGCTTACAGCAGGAGAACCATACAGTTTCCCCAGGAAAAGGACATTGGGCACAAAGTCAAACAAAGGAAATTGCATGTGAATATACTGTTCTAAATGATCAGACTTTGAGCAGGGGGGTTGCATTAGAGAACTCCCTTTCGACTTTGATCAGACTTTGAGCAGGGGGGTTGCACTAGACAACCATCCATTCTGGTAAGTCTGTAAGTTCTGACTCGAGTGCACAAAACCAGTAGATGGGTATATCCAGTTGTACTTAAGTTTTAAGATGCTCAGGTTACTTTTTAACATTGTATAAAGCACCACTGCAAAATTAAGCCTCAGTGCAGGTTTTGGTCGGTAAGGATTCCCCTCTCTCCCTGTAGCTCCGGTACCAGATGCATTGAGCATGCTCTTTTCCCTAGAAGATATTAGGAGCAGCTCTGGGATGCTACCTCATCTTCTTCAACCAGCTTAGGGAGTCAAACTGCTGGCGAGGCTGTTCATGCTGCAGCTGCTGCAGTGTCCTCCGCATCCACCCCAGAGACAGCAGCAAGGGAATCCAGCTATCTTTAGGCAGAACAGAAGGGAGTGTTTGGCAGCTATGTCTGCCAAGGGGGAACCTCAAAACCCAGACCCAGCTTCTGCAGTTGCCACAGTTGAGCACGTTAAATTAAACAACAGTTAAGATCACTGAGAGTCCTTTCATTAATTTCTTAGGTTGTTTGCTGTAATAAAAAACTATGACAAAATCTTAATTAAAACAATATTCAAGACTGCTGTTAATATTGTTAAATGTAATTAAAGGTATTCTATTACTCACCATCAAATCTTTCACTCTGTTGCTTAGCTGATCAATAAATAATATTGGAAGGTAATGCACTGTCTTCCCCAACTGAACCCTAGGACGTTTAAACATGGATTTTATGACTGTAGTGATCTACAAAGAAAACTACTTGTATTACAGTTAACACTCTATCATCACTTTCAGACCTACCCATGTAGGCATTTGCCACTGTCTTTTCAGGCACTTTTATTTTTAAAAACGCATGGCAAGAGAAGTAACAAGACTAACTGAAAGATGTCTGCATAAAAGCTAAGCATGTCATAGTTCTCTTTAGCTTCTGCTTTGACTTTTCAGTAGAGAGGCAGAATAAGCAATAAGGAATGAAAGACAAATGACATTAGCTGTGATGATGCTAAAGCTGCCATGTTAATGGTAGTGGTAGGAATTAAAGTCTGTCAAAGGGAAACACACTGAAGTCATTACTACAATTTGTATCCTTTGTCTCAAATAACCCTCTCTTTCTGTAACAGTGCCAACTTTCCTCCATCTGCCCTACCATTGCTCTACCATCTCAGCTAGTAGAAATCAGCAAAAACTTAAATCTTTAGGTTTGCATTGACAGGAAATTGTTACTTCATTGGCCAGTGATCTGGCTGATGATCTACAAGCAATTCCTTTGTCAGCAGCTTGGAATAGAGCTTAGCCTAGTGCCCTAACAGTAGTAAAAAAAGGCAACTACCTAAACTGAGGCATACTTGGTAAAAGCAAGTCTCTGTGTGTGCTAAGACAGTACTGTACACTAAGTACACAAGGGATAACTGGCCCTGACACTGTAATACAGAAAAAGCATTAACTCTAGGCTCAGAAATCTTGTTTGATGATTTAATTGAAGACATTTTATTTCCTATGAAGCGTCTACTAACAAAGTGACTGCTAGGAGAGCTGACAAAGGCTATTTCATATTCACACTGTTGCCTGTATAAAACAGTGTTGACCAATCTAAACACAGCTGCAAGAGGGACTCTCTTTCATCAAGCCAGGCTGAATCCTTTGCAGTTCTATACAGGCGTATCTTAAAAACCACTAAGTCTGTCTATTTGGCTGGGAAGCTATCCCAGACCCTCACTGCTTGTTCGTTCAGCAAATACTTCTGGGTTTGATAGGGTACTTGTAGAGAAAGGCATCAACATAAGGTAACAGAAGCCAATGAGGCAACACTGCACTATTTATATGGCTAACACTGGAAGTCATTTAAGTGAGCTGTGAACAGGAGCTAGTGCCTGCATTTAGTGGCCTAAAAACCTATCCTTGCTTTCTAGTACTTTCTTGAGAAAATGACATGATGTAGGAGGACACAGCCACAAAATAAAATAAAACCAGTCATGGAGGGAAAGTGATGGAACAGGGAATAAGCTCTGCCACTTAAGCACTTGCAGTTTATATAAATAATCCTCATATGAAGGTTAATTGGAACAGTCAAGGGAAAATTACCTTAAATACCCCAAGTATTGTGGGAGCACAAGCAGTCTGCAGTAGCATTTCACTTGTGTCTTTGCAGTTATAATTTGTCTCGCTATAACAACATGCAAAAAAATTTCACACTCAGCTTCCCTGAGTAGCTCATATTTTGTTCTTATATTTTTATGTGGTTGAAAACCACATTGGAAATATTTTATTAATTATCACTATTGAAAGGCAAGCACTAAGAGTATTGTCTCCCAAGGTCCAATTCAAATGTAGAATACTCAAGGAGGACAGGGAAGACTTTCAGAGAAGTGTGCAGGAAGTTTATAATACTAAAATTAGCGAAATTAAGTCATTAACTTACATCTTCATGTAACGGTGAACATCAGCAGGGAGGGACGATCCATCAAAGACAAAATCTTCCACCATGACATTTAAGGTTAACCTTGACCTCCAATGTGAGACAGGCTCATCTAAAGCATTGGTCTGTTTTTCTGCTTCAATTTGCTTTAAAAATACAATAAGCATACATTTTTTTGCTAAACAAAACAATTTTGAATAAGACTGACTTTGAATTTCAAGTCATAGAATTTCAGTTCATAGAATCTATGGAGCCATTTGCTCTATCGCTGAACAGAAGTTCATTAAGAAACACCTCACCATCATTTTAACCCAATCAAATATTTTTGTGCAAATATATCAGATCCAATCATACCAGCCAAGCGTAATTTGACACTGAAAGACTCTAGTATCCATTCACAGTCTTGCTTACCAAGAATGAATATTGACCTAAATAAAGTTAACACTTTAGGAATCTGAACACTTGTCAGAATAAGGCACTTGAAAATAAGGACATCAGAGTAGTGGGACACTAATTTCCAAAGCCATTTGCTTAGAAGTTCTGAGTTTCCGAAGGCTGTGTAAAGTAGTGCTGAAACAGAATAGGACCTTGGCTTTCAGTACGCTGGACTGTGGCATCAACTCATCCTCAACTTCATATACATTCTACTTGCATTTAGAAACAGCAATGCAGAAACAACAAGGCTGGCTATGGCTACATTTCAGACTACAAGGGGTATCAATAAAGATTGACATTCTAAAACAAAAATGGCTCCACTTGAGTACTGTGTACAGCAACCACTACAAGTATTTCATTCTCTATCACTGGGTATTTTTCCCACTGAGTAATCTCAGCATTTGACAAAGGATACTATCTTATTCAATTGAATTGTAGGAAGAAGTAAAAATATACTAAAGAAATAGAAGCAGCCTGCACTTCGATAACTCACCAGTACCAAGATGAAGTTCATGCTGCTCTTACATAACCAAAGCACAGTATTTTACATGAATCCAGTTTACTGTGCAAAGCAGGACAAAACAGTTTCTATCAAAAGCAATGAATTCTTGAAACTAATTAGGGAAGAGTTTTAATAGCAGCTAGTCTTATAAAGTGCTCCACATCTGCTGTGCTGAGTGGTCTAGCATTAGTCTACAAGCTACTTATCAAGAGGATTTTTTTTGTTTGATGTACAGTTTATCAACTTCCATTTTTTTATTTCCCTCTTCAATGTATGTTGAAGTATAATGTATAATATAGCCTCAATCAAAATATTCATCCATAGTTAAGGCCACTACAATTTGGAAGTAAAAAAGGCCAAGATTTATGCATAATCTACTTTGATATTAATATATTATAGTTTGAGCTACAGAGGCCTTAGCTGTAAACAATACAAGCAGTCTTTCCCTAAACTAAGCTTTCTCGTAATATAAACAGCATATACCCATTGTCACATTCAACCCAAAAAGGCAAAAATTGAGTTGTGTCCCGTAATTTGGGAATGCATGTTTATTCTGCTCTCCAGGCCTTCCTTATTGCAGAATATCACACAAAGTGCTATTCTAGCTGACAGGTTGTTAAATTAATTTACCAGCAAGAAGAAAAAATTATTTCATGATACTTCAAAGAAAATCTTCATTAAAATATTTTTCTTGTTGAATCGTGAGAAAAGATACCTACTTGTGTGTCCGATTCTCCAGTGAGCAAATTAATCTCTTCTGGTTTAGGAACCATATACGTAGTCAGAGGACTTACAATGTGCACCTGCTTACCATCATGCCACGGCAAAATGCCAGCATGGTGAAGAAATATATATGCATATAGTGTTCCATTATTCCGGGTTTTCTTTGGTACAGAGACATTGACCGTCCTAAAATGCAAAAGCAGCACATTATGAGATGACATAGCATAAGCTGAAGTATTGATCTTTAACTTAGAGTACAGCAGGTGTTGTGGAAATGAGCAAGAAAAGGCGTCGCTTTCCACAAATTAATTCAGGCTTACACGCCTCAACTCGCCTACACTGGGTGAGATCAGTTTAGATACTCCAGGATGTGTCATAATATTTGCATTACCAAGATTTTACCGTCATCTTTATTACCTTAGACTTTGGTCAATTCATCTTGTGTTACCCTAGGCAACACACAAATACTGCACCATGGGTTTTCTAGTTGCTTTCCCATGGCAATTGCTCACAGGGCCAAAATTATCATGGAACATATAGAAAATAGCTTTTACGTGCTGAATATATACCAAAAACTGTACACATGACATAAGATAGGGAAAAAAAAGAAAATTTCCAAGACTTTGCATCACAAGCACAGAACTCTAGAGAATACTCTAGAGATACTCTAGAGAATTCATAGAATTCTAGAGACCCAAATCAGGAAATCACTACCTTGAATTAACCAAGAAATCACCACACTTGCTACTTTGGGCTCCAGATCCCTTTTCTACTCTTGTCAAATTGCTAAGGTCACAGGCCAGTTAAAGCATTCAGAAAAAAAATGAAGCCATGGCTACTAAGGAAACCACTGTGTAGATAGCGTTCTGACTACAGACATTATTAGAAGAAAGTCAAATGTTCTCAGTCACTTTTAGATTTTCACAGATGAGTCATTTGTGTTATTACAAGCAAAGCATATTTTTTGAAACATTTGTGTATACACCTGAAAACTGTATGTAGATCCAAACCAGCCAACACTTGTACATTAGCACATTATGCAGAAGCAATCTATCACAATTAGCGAGACCAATAGTTAGAATGGGATCAAAAAACTGTCTGACAGACCAGAGAAGACAGCACTCAAGGTCTGTAGAGACTATATAGGAGAAGCAACTATTCCTGTATTCATCACAGAGGCTTTGTTTGGCAGGGAGTTGTTTCTTGCAACTGTGAGATGACAGCTCAATGCAAGAAAAGTCTGTGAAACAGCCTATTCTCTAGTGCCAAATGAACTTATCTCACCTTTTCCATCAAGAGAGCTACTTTATGAATACTTAGAGGATAAAGAACTTTTAATAAATATATATACTTACATATATATAAAACGCTGCTTTTACACATAGGAGTACTTTATGCTAAACGGAAAGTCTGACTCATGACCAATTTCTTCGCTGCCTTAACACTAGGAATATGGTTACTGATTTACTAAAACACATGGGAACTGAACAGCCAGAAGAATAGCAACCTTAACCCAAAACCAAAAATATACAAGAACAGTAGCAACTGCTAATTCTCTCAACACTACTGTTATGAACACAGTGCATCTCATGCCACTTGTATGTGACCACTAGTTAGGATAAATTCTTCAACATGAAACAAAAAACTCTCTGTTCTAGCACTTACCTTTCAAATTTGGACTCAATATCAAAGTCTTCCACATTCAAAACCAGATCTATATTATTCTCAGCACCAATGTGTGACCTTGTGGTAGTGTACACACTTAACTGAAATTAAAAGACAACACAGGGCAATCAGAGCACAAAAGTACTAAGTGCATATGTCAGAAAGCTCAGAGGGCAGTCCTGTAAGTCAACTTCGCTAACCTTCCCAGGGACAGGAGGATTATACACACTGGTAAAGAAAATTACCTACTCAAGATAGTTTAAAAAAAAGCTCGGCTTTCCCTGTTCTCCCTTTGGGGACAGAAGTGCAGCACGGACACTAAAGGGGGTTTTATAAGATTTCTCCTCTACAGAGGAACTATACTTGAAAGCAAAGTTGTTTTTTTTTTTTTTTTTTCCCCACTATAACTAGAACCACTTGTCCAGTAACTTTACTCCATTTACTACTACACGTGCTAACAGAAAAAGAGAAAAGGGTATCTCCCGCCCCGCGCCTCAGCCAGGGCCGCTAGCTACTGCGCAGGGGGAGGCTCCACTGGGCACCACCAGCGCGCTCGGCATGCCCCGCTCCTCCACCGTGACACCTACCGCGCCGAGGCCGCCGTGCGGCTGCAGTCACCCCAACACCCCGGCGCTCACCTGCAGCTTGGGCCGCCCCGCCCGGGAGGGCCAGACGCAAGCC